AAAAAAAAAAAAAAAAAAGATAGAAAAGAAAAGAAAAGATATCAGAGTTGCCCGTGTCCACAAGCCACAAAGGAAAGACCACATGAACGTGCACAGCAAAGGTGGTCATCTCAAGTTGAGAAGAGATTTCTTGCTATAAACTGACTAGTTAGCACCTTTATCTGGGACTTCTACCTTCTGGAGATGTGAGGAAATGTATTTGTTATTTAAATCAACTGACTTTGCCATTTCATCATGACAAGCTGAGTAGACTTATATAATAACATATTCAATGGTTTATTCTTGGACTCTCTAATATTTTCTACTGATCTATATATCCCCTTCTGCCCAATGGTATAAATGTCTCTTTTCTATGATCTGTATGCCAGTACCATAATATTTTGAGGGTTGTCTACTTGCATCATTGCATCGGGCTTTGACCTCCTGCCCAATTACTCAGGAGCTGAGAGAGTGAGGCCAGAGGATCAAGCTCTGAGGCCACCTTAGATGACACAATGAGGTTCTATCTCAAAATAACAAACTCCCACAAAGAATTCAGATTCAACAAAACTATTCTTCATAAATTCAGTCAATATAAAATAGAATTCTACTTCAAAGGAAACAAAAAATAGTACATTCTTAGCTAAGTATGAGTAACTATGGCCCAACAAAATTTATTCAAGTTTTCCTTAAATGGCACCCTAATTGTGGAAAAGGTTACAAAGAAAAAGAAAGTCATGAATCAGGATGATTACAAAGTATAAGGCTGAGTTCCTCACACACCTAGTTGGGGAAATTGCAGGCTCATGACTGAAATCAAAGTGGAGATGATTGGGCCAGGATTTGAGCTCAGTAGCACCATGCCTGCCTTGCAAGCACAAGGTCCTGAGTACTATTCCCAGTATGATTTTAAAAAAATCAAAGCGGAGACTGACTTTTACAGGATTCAACTACCATCTTAATTACATTCTTAGCTTTAGGCTTGGCAGAGACTAACAGTGTGTAAGGCTTAATACATATTCCCAGAGTTTAATCTGGTATTCAGGAGGATATGAGATCAGACACACAGGTTGACAGTAAATAGCTATGGGAAAGAGACTAAGTATAGCCAAATATAACTTTGACTTATATCTGTGAGATTTCACATATCTACAAACTCAATATCTAGCTACTCCTGGTCTAAAAGCCTGAAGGATCTTTCCATATAGATACTGCTTTCTTGGGCAACTTTACTGTATTTAATTTTATTATTTATTTATTTATTTATTTATGGTACTTGGGATCAAACTTGGGACCTTGTGCTTCCGAGGCAGGCAGTGGAACCACTGAGCTAAATCCCTGGCCCAGGCTACATTAGTTCATACTCCTAAAGTTGTGTTTAAGGTTGTGTGTGTACCGTGCCAAAATTCCATTCTGCTATCAAAGCACCTTACTGGGATTCCTAAACCCAGCCCCAATAAAGGATTGATGCGACTAAGTTTAAAAAGGGAAAACAAAAACACTTCGCTTGAAAGAAAGAAACAAAGCCTGGGACAGCTACCTTGTGAGAAGGCAGGGTGTCCAGACCTACATATGAGTGAGCCCTTTGTGCTGGCTGCTTTTACAAGGGATCAAGGGCCCTTCCCCCTCCTAGAATTTGTCATAATCTGATTGGTTCCCTGGGCTGTCATAGATGGCTCCCAGGCCCCAAGACCCTCAACTTCCTATGCCATCATCTATGTGCACATTCTCAAGGAAGCCTGTCAGAATCTTATCTTTAGAATTCACAGATTTGTAATAGAGTACTACTCAGCCATAAAGAATGAGAAATAAGATTCATTCATAGAAAAATGGATGCATATTGAGGATATACTCCTAAGTGAAATACATAAGTCACACATGAATACTGAATAGTTTCTCTGGTGTGAAAAGCTATAATAGTACATAAGATCCTAATGAGATAACTGACCATGTGAAATAGGAAGAAAAGGGCTAAAGGTGTAGGGAAAATGGGAAGGGTAGGGGAAAGGTAATAAAGGAAAAGAAAAAAATATCAAAAAATGGAAATAAAGTGTTTATAAATGGAGAGGGGAGGAGGGGGTGAAGGGAGGGCATGAACAAGGGGGAAAAAATGAGAACCAAGACCTGTCATGTAAAGGTGTAAGATCCCAATAATGAATGTAATTGTACTGTATACCTCAAATGTACCAATAAACTCAATAAAAGAAAAAAAAAAAGGACTTTACATACAAGGTAAAGATTGCAATTAAGCAAGGGAGATAGTGCACTGATACAGTGGTCCTAGAGTGGGACTATATAAACAACGACACCTTAGTTTATGAGCTTCTTTCCATAATTCTGGGCACAAATCGATTTGGACACAAGCCAAATCAAATTTCCCCATAAGGTCAACATTGAACCTAACCATTAAATTTCATGTATATGGAGGTATAGGTATTTGTGCTTTTATATACTACATAGGAGCTTTATTTCTTCTTTTTTTTAAATAAGAGCTTTAAGTGGCCCTTGTCTCTTTTGCATTTAATTGGAAGTGGAGTTGGGTGAGAGGGTCTACCTTGGTTTCAGAGCACCTGGTTTGCCTTGTGCTCTGCCTATCCTCCTCAGCTTCTGTTAATTCCTCTTACCCACTTTGAAGCTTTAACTCTTTCTAGTCAGGACTCACCAGAAAGCCCATTGATGCCTTTCCCTAGTTACAGACCCCTCTTCCTCTACACACTATGAACTCAGAAGTTTACATGACAGGTTGAGGTAGGACAAGGCAGGACACCAACAGAACTCTGTATACCTGTGATTATCCTGCATAGCTATGAGAATAATTTCTGGAGAATCATAACACACTAGATAGCTAGAAAAGTGTGCATCAAAAATAAGAAATGTATTATCATTAAGCCTTAATGTGTTCTGAACATGAAAGATGCTGGGCCCTTGCTCTGTTCCTATGAATAAACAAGAGGTACAGGATTCTACTCCTTATTATTTTCTATTGTCCATTCTCTGGAAAGTGAGAGGGATGGGAGAATTGAGGCCGAGGCACGAACACCCAAAACTAGGCTTTTATTAAGGGGCCGGGGCGTAGAAGACGAGGTGCCTAGCTGTCTCGGACAATGGCAAGAGTAGCAGGGCAGGGGCTGGCTGGGTGAGGTTTTATATGGGTAAGGGGTCATAAGGGGAGGGGAATAGTGAAGGTAGATGTTTGGTTGCAGCCAGAGGTGAGGTTTATTTATTTTTTTATTCTTTTTGGTACCAGGAATTGAACTTAAGACCTTGTGCTTGGGAGGTCGGTAGCAGAACCACTGAGCTAAATCCTTGACCCTGAGGTGAGGTTTAAATCCATTGGCAGGTTTGCATATCCAGGTGGGAAGGACTAGAGATGGGAGAACTTTGGGGCAGGAAAGTTGGGTCTTTGATTCCCTGGAGTAATGTATTTAGGATGTGGGGTTAGGGCCATTTTATCTAGCAGGGAATTCTATCAGAAAGCAAGCAAAAGTATAGGAAAATAAGTAACACATTCTCAAAGAATGACAATAACTTTGGGTTGAGAGTCCCATTCAGACTTCCATAGAATTTTACACCATTATCTGAACAAGCCCTGGTTGCAGATGAGAAAACAGAGTGCAGAAGGAGAGGTGTAATTTTTGCAAGTTCACACAGCCTTCTCCGCTGTCTCTGGTTCTAGACAATGTGCACATTGCACTAAGTAGCATTTCCATGGGCCCAAACCATCAGGCAGAACAGAGAATTTCACTTTCGGAGTTTTTGTTTTCACCAGCTTCCTCTAAAGCGGCTATCAGAACAATGTGCCTTAGTTTCAGTTTCCATTTCCCTCAGCTGGCCAGCTTTAGTTTCCCCTTCCAACTTCCAATTGCAAGAACACACTCAGAGCAGCCTGCAGGCCACACCCACATTTTTATTTGAGAATATAACCCTGCTCAGATGTTTTAATTTACAGGAAAAGCCTCGGGACAGACGTGCCTGATCTCCTAACAGCCAGTCTTTGCGAAATAGGTCAGAATTCTTGCAGAATTGCTAATTCCCAACAGCCATGAGGTAAGGATTTCTACTTTTCTCTGCCAGCATTCTTGGAGAAAAAAATTTTTTTTATTATTCATTAAGCTTATGGGTACATTTTAGGTATTCAGTATGATGACATTCATCATTGGGAATTTGTACCTTTACATGATGTATCTTGGTTCTTTTTTTTTTCTTTTATTGAGTTTATTGGTACATTTTATGTATACAGTACAATTACATTCATTATTGGGATCTTGTACCTTTACATGACAGGTCTTGGTTCTTATATTTCCCCCATCCCTCTGCCCTTCCTTCAGCCTCTCCATTCCTCCCTATTTACACAGACTGTTTTTCTGTTTTTCCTTTCCTCTACCCCTACCACTTCCTTTTCCTCCTTGGACCTTTTCTTCCTATTTCACGTTATTATACATTTTGATACTTATTTACACTTTCAGTTTCTCACACCAGAGAAGCTATCCTGTATTTATACATGGGTGTTCTATTTATTTTACTTGAGAGTATGGCCTCAATGTGCATCCATTTAGCTATAAATGTCTTCTGTTTTGGAGAAAATAGTAACCAGTGCTATCTTGAAAGCTTAGCTGTCAGTGAAGTTGAGCTTCCTAACCCTTCTGTTTGGGCATTTGCTTGTGGAATGAATGTGCATGTGTGGGTGCAAATACATGCACATACTAAGGAAATATTCCTTATGGTATAGCCCAGAAAAGGCAAGAGACAGGAGAATGTGTTTTGAAAGAAGGGGAAGGTAAATCTCAACTTCGGATGTTCTTTTTTGGCGGGGGGTACCAGGGATTGAACTCTGGTCCTTGAGCTTGCAAGTCAGGCCACCAAACCACTGAGCTAAATCCCCAGCCCTTGGATGTTCTTTTCCAGCAACTACAGAAAGGAGGGATAGTTTTTCTGGGCAGAGACATAGCTTTCTGCTCCATCCTGATCTTGGAGGAAAAGCAGAACCCACACAGTCCTTTGAGCTGCTTTTGGGACCTTTCACAAGCCTTGGGATTATGTAGGGCCGATGTGGGAGAAGCTCATTGCCTTCCTCTATGGGCTTCTGCTCTCCCTGTCTTAGTTCTGGGCTCTGATGAAGGTCTCACTGCACTGAAGATTAGCAGAGTGCTGAACCTCTTGATAGGGAGCCAAGCTGCCTGCAGATCTTTGGAATGCTTTACATAAGTCCTGTCTGCAAGGCATCCACATTGCCTTTGCCTAAAAGGCCCAATGTGGAAATTTCTTTATGGTCCCAAATAAATCCTGTCAGCAACTGATGTAAGCAAATATAAAATAAACTGCCTGATATTGACTTGTAAAAATCACTAGGAAAATTTGGGAGGAACAAATCTACAGAAAATGTGCAATTGCAGCTCTATAATCAACACTTCTCCAAATATAATGAGGATTATATTTTTTTCTCTCATTGAGTTTATTGGTACATTTTAGGGATACAGTGCAGTCACACTCATCATTGGGATCTTGTACCTTTACATGACAGGTCTTGGTTCTCATTTTTTCCCCTTGTCTCTGTCCTCTCTTCACCCCCTTCTCCTCTCCCTATTTACAAACACTTTAATTCCATTTTTTCATTTTCTCATTTTTTTCTTTTCCCTTATAACCTTTCCCCTACCCTTCCCACTTTCCCTACACCTTTAGCCCTTTTCTTCCTATTTCACATTGTCAATTATCTCATTAGGATCTTACGTACTATTATAGTTTTTCACACCAGAGAAACTATTTGGTATAATGAGGATTACATTATAATGTTAACTGATGCTATAAAAGTAGCTATCAGTTCCTGTATGCCTATTAAATACCACTGTGGTTTCAAAGCTTTTATGTAAATTGTTATATATAATCGGGGAAAATGAGAAAGGTACTTTTGCTGATTTTACAAAAGGAAATCTTAGGGCCAGGGATTTAGCTCAGTGGTTCTGCCTCGAAAGCACAAGGTTCCAAGTTTGATCCCTGGCAAAAAAAGGAATCTTACACTGAGGAATGTTAAGAGCACCCAGAAAATCAATGGAGGAGCTCAAACAGGAATAAGACAGTCAGTTATGCAATTTAACCAACTTTTCCAAGTTGTGCGGTGGGAATTCCTCATGGTATTTCCAAGAGTACAAAAATTTGCTTTTTAAAAATGCTTTTATATTTATGTTACCATATCCAAGAGAAAAAAATATACATACAGTACTTGTAAAATTTCTATTCATGTTACCAATGAGTGCCCCGGCCAGCGGGGTTCGTTATTAGTAGGACTTGAGGAGGGGAGCACCCGGAACGGGAACAGGAACGACGCAGGAAGACAAGAACCAGGCAGAGCTCTTTTAGGGTCAAAATTCTTTGACAACTTTTATTTCTCACACAGCAGCTTATATGCAGGCAGGGATGAGCAGGGACTTTCCTGGTTGCTAGGTTACCTAACCTAAGCTGGTCTAGCTAGATAAGGTAGGGCATGGCCAGAATGTCGCCGGGAGGGGTTAGAATGTCCCCGGGAAGGTGTAAAGTTCCTGTCAGGGGCACACACATACACAAGGTGGAGGGGCACACACGGAGGGTGGAGATGCACATAGGTCTTGGTCTCCAACAAATGAGTATTGATTTTAATAAAGTACATGTAAAATTTTTAAAAACTATTTTAAATATTTAACACATATAAGGTAGTGGTATTTAGCACACCCTCAATATTTAGCATCATCACCACTATCCAGGTCAAGGATTTCACCATTTTACAAGAAAATTAATTTCCATTGCCACTTCCTACTGCCCTCCAGCAGCCACCAAGAGCCATTCATGTGCTCCATGTGTCTATACATTTGTCTAGTGAGGATACTTCATACAAAGGAAGGCTTTCAATTTGTGCCTAGAATGCATTCTTAGAATTTCTGTGCCATAGCATCTCTTTAGCAACTGTACCAGCCTCTCCCCTAGAAGAAGTGCCCTAAATCCCACTTGGAACAGCTTCCAGGTCTCCACCTTCTTCTAATTCCTCATGATTGATCTAACTCCCTCTTGCTGACCGCCTTCCCTTAGGCCAGCTAGATGCATACCCTAGTAGATTCAGCCCACGGCCCACACACTCTTTGAAGACAAAGCGGATATGCCACAGCGACCACCTTTCCTTGACACCATGACCTGTAGAAATTGAACCAGCTTGCTCTAAATGCACAAAGTTAGATCACTCCACAAGAAACCCACTGAAGTGATGGACCCAAAAATGACTTGGAGATCTCCCTCTGTCTGCTTCTCTCTGTCTTTTTTTAAATCAGTACATTTTAGGTATATAATATGATGTTTCTCTCTGTCTCTTTGCCTCTATCTCTGTCTCTCTCTCCCCTCCCCAGTTCCCCATCCACTCCTTAAGCTTCCACAGCTCTGAAATCCTCAAAGCATTGGCCTGCAAGTCGTTTTTGCTCTCCACTCTGGGATCTATGAGTAGTCAACTGCTTCTTTCATTCCACGCATTGTCACAAAGGACAATCTACATCTCACCTGTTTGACACAACTTCTTTCTAGGAGGAGCTTTCTGAAGTGGACACTGTGGTGTGAAGAAACTAGAAAGGGTTGATAAGAGCCAGTAGGCTCTTGTCACACAAACAAGCTAGCTGTGAGAGGGACATCTGGTGATGGCTGGGACACTTAAGCACAAGACTGTCCATAGGATAAATTAGTGTCTCATGAAGGGCACACTCCAAACATCCGTGAGCATCACGGATCCCATCAGGCCAGGGTTAAAGTTCACAGCCACTCTCTTAAGAAAGACCTCAAAACTAAATGAGGGGGAAAAAGTGTCCTTTGGGTTAGTTTATTTACCATAAAGTTTTCAATGTTCATCCGTGTTGCAGCATGTGTCAGTACTTCATTATTTTTCATGGCTAAACAGTGTTCCATTTAGTGAGTATGCTCCATTGTGTTTGTTCACTTGATGCTGAATATTCGTGTGTTCAAATATCTGCTTGTGACTAGTGCTCCAATAAACATACCAGTGCTTGTTTGAGCAGCTTCTTTCAATGATGTTGAGCATGTATCCCTGTGTGGAATTTACCCAGGATGATAGATACATGCATGGTTCATAGGGTAATTCACTTTATTTATCATTTTCCTGTTTCTTTTTTCTCCTTATTGCCACATTAGTAGGTTAGAGTGTTGTCGCATCATACATTCATTTCTCTTTTTTTTTTTTTAATTTCGTACTGGGGATCAAACTTGGGCCCTGGTGCTTGCAAGGCAGGCGGCTGAACCACTGAGCCAAATCTCCAGCCCTCATCTCTCTCTAATGACTAACGAGTCTAGGCCTAGACTCAATACTCATTTGCTGCCTCTTTGTGACTCTTCTTTAGGCAGTGTCTACCTACGTTCTTTTCCAGTAGTTCATTGGCTTGCTCGTCTTTACTTTGTGAGTTGTAGGGCTTATTTCTATTCTGAGGGTTATCTCATTATTCTGTTGATGATGTGATTTGATGCACAAAAGTTGGAAATATCCAATTTGTCTGCACTAGTTCTGCCTATGATTTTGATATCATAACAAAAATTATCAAAATCATGAAACTTTTTCCTGATGCTTTCTTCTATAATTTTTATACTTTATATCTTGTATCATAAGTTCTGGTCTACTTTGAATTAATCTTTGTAAATGGGGTAAAATAGGATTCTACTTCATTCATTTTCTTTTACTGGTACTGTGGATTGAACTCAGGGCCTCTTGATTTCTGTCTTCATTGTTTTCATCTGTTTTTTTCTGTTTTTGCATGTCATTTGGTCAAATGACAACCCTATCTCCATGTGGGGTTTTGACATACTTGTAAAAATCACTTCACAATAGTTATGAACTGAATTAAGACCCTTCCTAAAAATCATAGCTTGAAGACTTCTCTCCTCATGTGATAGTATTTGTAGATAGAGTCTAAAAAGAGGTTATAAAAGGAAACTAGTGGCTGAAGGGTGGAGTCTTACTTCCATTGGGCTCGTATTGTTATACAAGAGGGAGAGACACCAGTGTCACCTGTGTTGATGGCCCAGGAATGCAAGGCCACGTGAGCACAAGCAGAGGGTAGCCATCCACTAACTGGGAAGAGATCACTTGCTAGGAACAATTTTGGAGTGCACCTTTCTCTGGGGCTTTTACTTACCAGACCTGTGAAGAAATTAGTTTCTGTTTCAAGTTAGCCAGTCTATATTTTTTATGACAATCTAAGTCTAATACAACCATTGGTCTATAGGTTTCTTCTCCTTAATATGCTTTTTATGCCAGTACCATATAATATCATAATCACATTAGGTTTCTAGGAAGCTTTTAAATCAGGAAATACAAGAGGTCCGTCTCTGTATTTTCAAGATTGTTTAGGTAATTGAGATCATTTGAAATTCCATACATATTGCAGGATGAAATGTCTGTTTCTATGAAAGTATGTCACTGGGATTCTGACAGGGGTTGTACTGAATGTGATATTCACTTTGGGTAGAAAAAAATCTTTTCAATATTAATTCTGCCAACCCATGAACACAGCATATCTTCCCATTTACATGTGTCTTCTGTAATTTTATTCAGTACTGTTTTATAGTTTTCAGTGTCCAAAACGTTTACCTACTTGGTTAAGTTTATTTGAAATACTTTATTCTTTTCAATGCTATTGTAAATGGCTTGATTTCTTAATTTCCATTTTTGATTGTTCAACATTTATACTAGACAGCTGATTTTTACACATCAATTTTGTATCCTACAGCTTTTCTAAATCTGCTTATTTAGCTTCCCCAGTCCTATGGGGACTTCTTATGCTTTTGTACATATACTATCCATGTTCATTGGAAGCAGGAATCGCACTCCTCACCTCTGTGTTGCTGAACTTAGACTAAAAGCTCTCATTATTTCCTCATGGGAGATGATTTATATGAGGGCTTTTCACATATGGCAGGAATGTGCTGAGAAAGTTTCCTTCTATTTCACTTCACCAAAGTAGCAGTAAATGTTGTCAATTGCTTTTCTGCACCATTTGGTGTAAGCATGAATTTTTTCATTGTGCTAGCATTACTTTACCTTCCTTGATTTTCATGTTTTGAACTGCTCTTCATGTGATAGTCTCCATGTGCATTATCATCCCTGAAATGATAAAATTGGAAATGAAGAACGAATGTGACAATGGCTAAGACGTCTGAAGGGTTCTGGGGAGGGGCCACAGGTGTGAGTGTAGAGGGGCACAGGAGGATGGTGTGGCGATGGCATAGTCCTGTATGTGGATTGAGGTGGTGGCCACAGAGGTTTACTCCTCGGGGAAAGTGGCAGAGCTGAGCAAACACAGCCATGTGCCCAGGTGCAGTTCCCAGGTTGGATACTGTGCAGTAGTGGCATGAGGTACAATCATTGTTGGAAATAATGGATGCAGTGCAACTTGGCACTGTCTTTGCAATGTCCTTAAAGTTATAAGTATTTCTAAGTAAAAAGTGAAGAAAACATGGACAATATTATTTAACTTCAGTGGTCTTCCTTTGTTCTATTAGATGCACCTTGTTCCTCTGCAATCAGCCATCTAACTGAAGTTCTCTGCTATTATCTGGACTCCCTCATTTTTTCTCTTGGATTGTAAAATTTTTTATTTGTACACATTAGCAGTTTATATTCCTTGGGATATTTGGTACAGTACATAACAGCTCTTAAATCCTTTTCTTATCACCTTTTTTCTGCTCTCCCTCCATCCCTTGATCCCCTTGCTGTGTCAGAAGCATCTATCTCTCTACTTCCTATAACCTATCTTTTATTTTGTTCTTCATTTATGTTTTGGGATTTTCATATAAGAGAAAGTGTATGATATTTAAGCTTGAGTGTCTGCTTTATTTCACTTCCCACTGTGATCTCAAGATATATCTGTGTCCTATACCAGTCAAGTTTATTTTTCTTGGAGGAGTGGTACTCCACCATGTGTAAATACTACATTGTCTTTATCCAATCATCTGTTTCTTTGTTTGTTTGTTTGCTTTGTTTTTTTTTTGCTACTGGGGATCGAACTCGGGACCTTGCACTTGTAAGACAAGCAGCGTCACCACTGAGCTAAATCCCCGGCCACCATCTGTTGTTTCTGTATTAATAGTAAATTAGAAGATTCTTCCATAGCATGTATTATGTTTTGTGTGCTTCACATGGACTTATTCCTTCCTAAAGCTCAGTATGATGAGCATTATCATCGCCAAATGAGACCTGAAACCACAGAGTGGTTACTTGCTTAGAAAATGCAGGAATTTTCTCATATATCTGTGAATGACTATTAATTCTAAAGTGTCAGCTTAATTGAGCTTACAAATGAGTACAGCATGCACATGGGTTCTGAGTGGGACATAGAAGCATAGCCTTGGGGAACATAAATGGTCCCACAGCCATTCCTCTGCAGCCCTGATCACCTGCAAGGCTCCCCAGCTGTCATGAACCGAGCAGCTCTGCTCTGCCATTCTGTCTGCCTTGCTATTCCTGCATTGCATCCAGCCTAATGGTGACTGAATTTCCACAAACTATGAACTGAATTAAACCTTTTCCTCTTTACATGGTGAGTGCAGGTGTTGTGTAGCAGCAATGGAAAAACTCACTGAAAGAGGATTTAAGAACCTATATTCGCTGTCCACTATTTATTACTTTGTATATCTATGTAAGTGTGAAATTTTTAGTAGTGCAAATATAACAAAAATAATTTATTTTTCTTTCTGACTTTAACTGTTGGTCACTTAACAAATCTGCATGTTTTTTCACAGTGAGAATCTTGATAACCGCCAAGTCAAGGATTGCTTGGTTCAGCTGAAATGTCACTTTACATGGAAACTGGTACTTGATGACACTGACATACGTGACTTAGAAATCAGGGTCTCAGAACACATCGAGAATGTGGACATGAACAATACAGTAATGTACAACCTCCAGGCCTATGTGAGACACCTTAAAGGCCAGAATGACAAAGCCCTGCACAGCTTGAAAGAAGCTGAAGATTTAATCCAGAGGGAGCACGCTGACCAGTCAGACAGGAGAAGCCTGGTGACCTGGGGCAATTATGCCTGGGTGCATTACCACATGGGCAGGTTGGCAGACGCCAAGATGTACCTGGACAAGGTGGAGAACACTTGCAAGAAGTTTGCAAGTCCTTTCCGCTTTAAGTTAGAGTGCCCGCAGTTGGACGGTGAGGAAGGATGGTCCTTGCTGAAGTGTGGAGGACAGAATTATGAGCGGGCTCAAGCCTGCTTTGAAAAGGCTTTGAAATTCGAGCCAGAAAACCCTGAATTTAATGCTGGGTATGCTATTATTGCCTATCGCCAAGATTGTGACAACAGTAATGTAATTTCACTAGATCCCTTGAGGAAGGCCTTGAAACTAAATCCTGAAGATGGATATATCAAAGTTCTTCTTGCACTGAAGCTTCAAGATATAGGAGAGGAAGCTGAAGGAGAAAAATACATTAAAGAAGCCCTAAGCAACAAGTCCTTCCAGACCTATGTCTTTCGCTATGCAGCCAAGTTTTATAGAAAAAAAGGCTGTATAGATAAAGCTCTTCAGCTCTTTGAAAAGGCGTTGCAGGCAACACCCAACTCTGCCTACCTGCATTACCAGATTGGGCTTTGCTACAAGATACAGATGTTCCAAGTAAAGGGGAGCACGAATAGGCAGGATAGAGAAATTATTGGCAGATTTGCTCGATTGGCTATAGGTGAGTTTCAAAAAACTACAACTGACAGACCCACTTTTGAGATGGCTTACATTAATCTGGCTGATGTGTATGCAAAATTAGGTCAGTATGAAAAGGCAGAGGAAAATTTTCAGAAAGCGTTATGCATGAAGGACATTCCTGATCACTTACAGCAAGATATTCATTTCCGCTATGGCCGCTTCCAAGAATTTCACAGGAAATCTGAAGATGAGGCAATCACCCATTATTTAAAAGGTCTCAAAATAGAAGAAAAGTCCGTTGTCAGGGATAAACTCCTAAATGCTTTGGAGAAATTGGCTAAAAGACGTGTTCAGCACAATGTTTGTGTTGTGGAAAGCTTCAGCCTCTTTGGGCTGGTGCACAAATTAAAAGGGGAGGTGAATGAGGCCCTGCTGTGCTATGAGAAGGCTCTGAGGCTCACAGAACACCTGAATCCTATGTTTTGAAGAACAGTTGACCAGTACCAATGTCACATGTTCGTTACTAAATATAAAAAATGTTTAATGTGGTGAACATAAATTAGTTGAATACAGAAAACACGCAGCAAAAAATATTGAATTTGTTATTCAATTTTTTAATGCGTTTTGGAGTAGACTCCATGAAGGAGGAAGTTCTGATTGCTCAGCAAAAAGATGCTCAGCTTTGGGGGAAATACACAGAGATAAGATTGATTAGTTTAAGCAGAAACCCTGTGTACCTGAATTTGTAAGCTGATACCATGACATTTTCTCTTAAAATACAGGCAGTGTATCATTTTTACTTTCTGGTTATAATATACTGCAGGAATTTTAAAGATCATTTTAGGGGGAAGTCAAATGAAAGTTATAGGAAGAACATTCTTCCTACTTCCTGTGAATAGCACTGCTTTAAAATGAACTTATAATGTAAGAAAATAACCTAATTAATAGTCTATTAGTACTCGAATAGATTCTAGTAAGTCAAATTGTGGGTCCAGGTGGGCTAACTCCTCCCAGGAACACCAATGAAAAGGTGTGACTGTTACCTGGCCATTCACAAGAAAACATTTCTGCGGTCTGACTCCTTTCTCCGTTGATGTGAGTGGAAGTAGGTTAGGAATAATATCAATAGCCAATAATGCTTTCATAGAGTCTGCAAAAGCTTGAACTTACATTTTTTTAAAAAGTAGACTGTAAGTGAGAATATTCCTCTGGCCCATTACATTCATGAAAGCACAAGACGAACAATTAGGAGGGTACTGTAAATGCTCAATGGCAAATTTTAAATCATGAAGAGAAGTATCTATAAATCTGACAGGATGAACTAAAATCTCCAGGGAAAATTAAACGACACAGAAATATGCACAGTAAATGGATTGGTAGCTTCACGTAGCCCTTAGCTTTTTATAATTGTGTCATGAAGACATCCACTACCTCTTCCAACACCACAATGTTTTCACTTAACTGTGATTAGCCCAAATCAGTGCACCCACCTGTGCAGTGCAAGCTCCTGCAGATGCCTGGTGAGGAAAGCAGCGCCACCGCATGATAGAATTTGCTTCTAACAAGATAAATACTAAAAAACGGGGAGATATGTCTTTTGCATACAGAAGGGGCGATGAGATGGACAGAGGAAGAGGAGGGGAGGGGAAGGAAATGAAAAAGAATTGATGTGTACCAATTCCCCATGATGAATCTAACCATTATGTATTGCAAACATATATTAATAAAAATAATTTTTTCAATAAAATCTGGCTTTTTAATAGGTAACTTGGTCACTAGGCTCTATTCCACAAGACCTTCAGCAAACCGACAATACCTTTAGACCAAAAGTGGTGTTCTTTGATAAGATAGGGGGATTTCCCATGGCACACATTTCTTCATAAACTGTAATTGAAGGTTTGAGATATTTCAGCAGAAATGGTTCTCCAGCTGTCCAAATAATAATAGTAAAGATAATAATGATGATAAAGAACCACTCAAATGGCATTCATCTTCCATGCGTTCCTGTGAATCAGAAAGAGACTGAAGAGATTTTTGCCCACGATGTCAGTAGGAAAGCGAGGTCTAGTGTAAGGAGGACACTGAACGTGAGCCTCCAAGAAAGAGTGGTAGGACAGGGATTGACTCCCCCACCCCAGTCTCTCACCCAGATAGCTTCAGACACACAGTAGATACCAGGGATTCTTGGGTCTCAAGTGCCAAGCCCATGTAAACATGCAAATCACCTGCTGATTTTTTTTAAGTACTAAGGTAGGCAAGAGGGCAGCATTTCTCCATGTGTGTTTCACTTTTCTGGGATGGGGCCTAATCAGCACAATTTTTAGAACTTTCCTAGATGACTCTAATACAGCAAATCTTCAAGTTAAGACCAGTCTGACACAAAAACAACTTAGGTTAACTAGGTTAATGGACTGTTCATCTGCCATCAAACAACAATATGCAACTGTATTTCTTAGAGCAGTTAAACATGAGTCTGTACCCAAAGAATGTGTCTCAAAAATTGGTGAGATAAGCTGAAGCTAAAATATCCCTTACACAGAAAGAAGTAAATGAGGACTAGGATGTAAGCCACTCAGTAAGTGTTTGTCAAAAAGAATGCCTGGACAAAGAAATTGAAACTAGCTTACAAGTAATTATTTTTACAACTAAATGAAGCCCCAGAGACAGACATGATCATGTAACAAAAATACACATTTTTGTTGCATTCCTTAATCTCTTCTTCTCAGATAATAGGTTTTGGGGTGAGACGTAGGGCAACTCTAGTTATTTTTTGTATCTGGTCTTAATGGGGACAAGGAAATTATTGCAACACTCATTGATTGCATTTTAGGAAGAAACAAGAAAATATGACAGTAATTTGATTCTTCAGGCCTCACACCAGGCCTCTCAACCTATCAACAGCCTAATCATTGATTTATTATTTTTGAACCCAACACCTTTTCCCTCGCCTTTATTACTATGTTGGCTATTTATTTGTCAATCTGACAATACAGGTAACAACCAGAACACTTGTTACTTCATTGGGAGGACGTTTTTATATGTGGTGGCAGATTTCCTTCCACACAGAGGCTACCTGAGAACAGAGCCAGGTCCCTCAGTTCTCCTTCTGTGCATTCATCCAGATCCCACGTACTACATGAGGCAGCAGTGGGGTGATGTGTTTTCTTAGTACATGGGACAGCTGTAGTTCCAAATGCTGGCCCTTTCTGGGTTTCTGCAGCTCCAGAAACACCTATCCTTCAGGTGCACAGTCACTGGAAAACTGGTTTCATATCCCTCTGAACTCATCTGGGAACTCATAAAATACTGCACTTGAACCTTCACCCTTGATCCTGAACCAGACAGCTGTGTACAAGAGGCACCTTCAGACATTTCCATCTCCTATCTATCTTTTCTCTCATCCCAAGAGCCTGACATTCTTTTCAGTTTGTGAAAAAGATTCCTGTGTTTTTATTATTTTCAGGACACAGAGAATACAGTGGCTAACAATCAAATATACTCAAATATACATATGACATATACAGCACATCTAGTTCAGCTTTCCAGGGAAACAAATCTGGTAGCCTCCTCTCAATAAGGAGCTCTCCAATGATTAACTGTGGCCACGGTGAGCTGCTCTTTGGAAATTTTTAGGGGGTCCTCTCTTTACCACATGTATCAGCAGAGTGAGGCAACAGCTAGTAGCAGTTTGGAGAAGTGGAACACAAGGCAATACCAGTGAGAATTCCCATCTGTACCCAGCATGCAGACTCAGCGCAGGAGTATTCTTGTCCTTTTACTATGAACTCAGGTAACTACACTGGCAAATTGAGATAGGACAGGCAAACTGACATGACACCCAAAAGCCTTTGCGTGATGTTGCATAGGTGTAGGAATCACTTCTGAGCATTCAGATTGTCTTTAGTGGCTAGAAGAGGGAAAATTGAAATGATAAAAAATATGTTACTAAACCCTGACTTACTCTTTCTGAAGACTTGAAGTGTTAGCTTTTTCTTCACAGTACCAAAATAGCTGAGCATATTCATTTCCAAGAGGAAAGGCTTATTATGTCTCACAATTACAGAGGGTTCGGTGTACTTCGGCTGGCTTCATTCTTTTTAGCCTGTGATGAGGCTGAACATCATTATAGCTGGAGGGTGAGACAGTTGAGTCTGCTTACCTCACAGCAGCCAGGAACCACTAACAAAAACAGCAGGATGGTGGGAAAGACAGAGGAGGGGAGGGAGGATGCAAGATTTATCCACCAAGAGTACATGCTCAGTAACAAATATTTTCTGCCATTGACGATTCTCCGGAATGTAAACAAAAGTATAGCTCACTTAGGAATGCATACTCTTATGGTTTATCATGGTAACTTTTCAATGTTGCTGAGCCAAAATACCAGATATCCAAAGTTAAGGGATGAAAGATTTATTTGGCTCACAGTTTGAGGAGGTTTCGTTCCATTGTCAGCTGGCTCCAAGGTAGGGTGGCCTGGCAGACAAACATCCCAGAGGAGAAACAGTTTATGGTGGGCAAAGGTAACAAAACAAGCAAGGAAACAAAAAATGGGCTTCTTTCTATTCCTTTTAATATTTTATCTAAACTACTGGGATTAGAGTGATGCCAAACCAATCACTGAACTGAATTAGTCATCACACACCCTTAATCCCAGCATCACACACTCTAGATTCAGCTACCTCTGAAAAAGTCCCCATCTATGACCATGTGAGGCTTTGGGAGTACATCTGAACACAAGCCATAACACGGTTAAAATTCACATTCTGATATATACAGAGTTGTATCTCATAATCTGGTTCCACATAGTAAAATGAAGGTGCAGAAGGAGAGTTGAGACTTCTACAAGTCCATGTGCTCTTTTTACAGGTGTCCCTGGCCCTAGTCTCAGTGCAACCTACATTCACTAGCATCTCTTAGGGCCCAAATTTTCACCAGACTAGGAGAAAATAATGTGTACATCAATTCACTGTTTTACAACCTCTTATCAACCAGTTCTTAGAGCAAAAGAAGGCAGCTCTGGTTATGGAACTACAATGAACCTGAGTCTTCCATACCATGTGATGTGCTTTTAAGCGCTTTACATATATAAGCGTATTAATCTTTCTAAATCCTAGTGTAATGAGTACTAATGCTATCCCCATCTTATAAATGTGACCCTGGATCACAGAGTTGTTACTTGTCTGTGAAGTGCTGAAATTACCAACAGAGCCAAGAAACTACATTCATCACCCATGTATTTGTTACAAATCCAGTGACTCGAAGGAAAATCTCAAGTTTAAGAATTTCAGAATAGCACTAGAAAGTGTTTTACTTTGCTGCTTATCACATAACAAATCTACTTTTGCTTCATTTGAGAATGTTGATCACCAGATCAAGGATGGCCTGGGTCACCTGATATCTCACTTTACATAGGACTGGTAATTGGAGACACTAAAATACCAGATTTTGAAAGCGTGGTCTTGGAAGAGACATTGACCAAGTGGCATGTGGGAATACACAACCTTCCGGCCCACATGAAACACCTGAAAGTCCAGAATGACAAAATCCTGCAGAGTTTGAAAGCTCAAGGTTTGACCTAGAGAGAGTATGTGAGCCAGTCAGACAAGAAGAACCTGACAAGCTGGAGCAACTATACCTGGTTGCATTACCACATAGGAAGGTTGACAAATGCCAAAATGTACATAGGCATGGCGGAGAACACTTACAGGAAATTTTCAGGAAATCCCTTCTGCTGTAGGATGGAGTGTTCCTGAGATGGACTGTGAAGAAGGATGGGCCTTGCTGAAGTGTGGAAAAAGGAACTACGAGCCAGCTCAGGACTGCTTTGAAAAGGCTCTGTAAGTAGAGGCAAAAACTCTGCATTCAATACTGAATACACCATCAGTGCCTATTCTTGAGATTTTGATAATAGGAATGCAATTTCCTCAGACCCCTTGAGGAAAGTCATGGGGCTTAAACCAGGAGATGCTTACTTCAAGGTCCTCCTTGGTCTATAGCTTCAGGATGAAAGACACGAAACTGAGGAAGAAAATTACTTTGAAAAGCTTTGTACAGTGTCCTCTCAGATGGGTCTTTCAATGTGCAGTAAAATTCTACTTTAAAAAATAGACTATGTGAATAAAACTCTTTC